AGGAGGAGGAGGTAAGAAGGGAAGACAACGGGATGAGAATGGAGGGAAAACTGGAGCGCACAAAAAGGGCTTGCCCCTGGCTCTTACAGCCCTTGGAGAACGTAAAAAAAAAACAAAAAAAAAAAACTACGAAATGTTTTAGGTACTAGTAGAGGAATATCAGTCAGTCCCCCACATTTTCGTGAGTCGGCAGCCACAGCTCAGATCTATCTCGGCACCTGTCAGCAAAGATAACTGACAACAGACCGCTCTGCGCCGCTCTGTATTCCTTCATACACTGATTCCGTTGAGAAAACAGAACATCGTCAACATTTAAATGTTTTCCTTTCCTTTTGACCAACTTCCCCCTTCAGCGTGCCTAGGTGCCTAGGTAAGACTGTTGTAGGAGGTATACCGAAGTATACCCACCCCGGTAGAAGAGCTGCATAAAATGTGCATTTTGTGTCCAATCTAAAATGCGCCTTAAACGCGTGAGCGCGCCTAAAATGCGCGTTTTCAGATGGGACATATAATGCGGTTCGAATGCAGTTTGCTTCATTTTGCTACCTGGGGCATTCATAATTGCGTCTGTGACACGCGTGCTATGCGCTGTCAGTGTGAAACACTCGGAGGTCCTCCCGGGGATGGTGACGGGATGCTTCTCGGAAGCGAACCTAGCGGACGCGAACGTCAGAAATTTATCATAGAAGTAAGGAAAATTCAAGAAAATCCTGCGGTATGTTATTCCCCTGGCTATGACCCCGCCTGTGAGGCGAACTGGTCGCTGAGCTGAGCTGGAGCCCCGGTCTGGAGTGGCGTGGCGGTACCATTCAGGCGCCGAGAGGTACTATGAGGATCAAAACCGCACACGGATGAGTAACAGGAGGCCAACAGGCGCCTACAGGTGACTCCCACCATCGCCATTCGGTTCATTTCCAATCGAGTCATTGAATCGTCGGAAACACGCGTTTGCGGGGTCACGACGCGAATTGGTATAAAGGCAAGTCGATGTGACCACATTGTGGCCATGCGTTGATGTAAAACGATTAGCCTGCTTACGACCACACTGATAAAGTGATGTGTTCAAACTGTGAACACGGTCGTTAGCCGTGTAAGTGTGAAGGGTGACCACATTGTGGTCACGCCGCACTCTTGTTAACGACATTCCTTAGCAGTAGCCACACCGGTAGACAAACGTGTCAATCTCACGGTGTGGACCTCTCATATCACCGTATCGTTCAGCAGCAAAGCTAAGAGTGCCTGGGCTGGTGCTGCAGATGAGAGGCGCAGGTCACCCGTGACAGAGCTCCCCACCATACCCTTCCTGCTCTGCGCCAGCCTACCGCCAGGGAATTGGTTTGGAACCGATGGTGGACTGAGGTTTGCTGGAAAGGAAAACCCCTACGGCTTGTGGAGTGGGGGGGGGGGGGGAGCACGCTCGACCTATTAGCTAACCGAATACAATAAACCTGCTCCGCTAACCGAAAATTTACGACAGGGGAACTTTGAGAATTTTGCTCAGGAGGAAGTTGAAAATAAAGAATGAGAATAAGGATTACAGTCAAAGAGTATAAGTGATAATAGGATAGGACCGTAGAGCCGTGTACTTTTGAATATACAACTTGCAGATCCCTCAATGTAGGCTACCACTCCATTTCAAATCCCGAAGACAGCAAACCCTCATGTCTCTCACAGTAATAGATCCCCTGTTAAAGTCTTCTGTCTGTCTGTTTTTTTGTTTCTTTTTGGTCAGGCTGTTTTTTAAGCCAGGGCGCTCAACGGATGCGTTGACATTCCGGGGAAAGCCGAAGAGGGAGCGAATAACAATAACAACTTCAGAGTATAGGAGGATGCTCCTGATCTGAGTCATAATAAACGGGCATAAAAATACTCCCCGGGTGTGGTGTGGTGTGGTGTGGCCAGTCGTGCTGTGAGCTGTGGAAACTTTGGCGTCGCAAGACGAGCAAATTTTCCCGCGGGGACGTCCCTACGCATGTCACATCATTCTCAGGACTAAAGAGCGTCGAAATTAGGCAATCAAAAATGCCCCGGAACACGTACGTTCATCCCTAATTGCTATGAAAAAATTCTTAAAGTTATGAGATTGTTAACAGAGATGTTACACACTAGGGATCGCCCATAAAGTGCGTCCGTTTTTATCAGATTCATTATGCAAATAACGGAAGCTCAGCGCCTGCGACACTCGGGGTAGGCCACCCCGCAGTACACCCATGAACTGCTGGCAAGATGTTGCCTACCTACCAGGCGCTACGAGAACTTGTATTACCTCCGTGAAGCTGGCCCCACCGTACAAGGCGAGAATGACGGCCGCACTTTCTGAATGATCTCTTTTCTTATCAACAAAGATGTATATTTAATGTGGCTCACTCCATTAGGTATGTTGGAAGGGTATACCCTTCCTGTGGGTCTACCCTGTATACAGGGTACTTTGCAGAGGCATTAAGAATCGGCACCATAGAAACGAAAAAAATTCAAACTCCCCCCCAGGGCGCTATTTTTTTTTATTATTAACACTGTAGGTATTCACTTATATTCATCAACATTCTCGATTATTCGGTAAATTTTCAGTTAGTATTCACGTTAGTGTTCACTGTTAAAAAAATTGCTGTAAATTTACAGCGAAAATGTGATTAATTTTGTTAGCAGCATATACTGTATTTTTACAGGCCTTACTGTAAAAAAGCAGCGTTAATGAAAATGTCGGAAACAAAGTTTCCGACCAAAAGCAGTTACTTTTGTTTTGCTCCTGTAAAAAAAAAAAATGTAATAATACGAGTGTCCTGTTTTGGAACAAAATGTGCTGCTAACAAAATTAACTTCTCTTTTCTTGTAAATGTACAGCAAAGTAATACGTAGTAGTTTTTGTTGTGGGCCACTGTGGGCCGAATATCACGAAGTTTCGAGAGTGTTCAAATGAAAACAACATTTCTGTTACATTACAGGGGTGTCAATCAGGCAGTAAGTCGTTAGGTGACAGTTATTTTTAACAGTGTTCGGTAATAATCACGAACATCAGCTTAAATATTTTATTCACAGTACACGAAATTTTCGAGTCGTGGGGGACCCCCTCGGAGCCAACAACATGCTCGACGCTGGCGCCCGCCGCCCGCCCGAGGGGAGGGGGTGCGCCGCCGCTGCCGACGGAGGCACAAGTTATTGGCGAACGCAGCGCTGCGGAATTTACAAAAGAGGACCGGCGGGGCGCTGCCTCCGGGCCGGGCTGCCGCGGGCTGCTGCGGTGCGCTGGCGGCGCTGGCGGCGCGGTCCGGCCAGGTTCAAGGGAAGCCCCAGCCCCGGCCCGGCCGGGCCAGCGATGAGTGTGCTCCCCCCCGGAGGTGGGGGCCGCGGGAAGGGGAGAAGTAGGGGAGGGGGAGGGGGAGACACACGGGTGAATGGGTGGTGTGCAGGGGAGGGGAAGGGGCAGCGTGCACCGCTGGACGCGCTCGCATATAGGCAGCTCGCACACGGGCGCGAACTTCAGTCTGTCGTCTCATTTGGTGCGTGTGCGGTGCGGAGTTAAGTGCGAGCGAGCCTTTTAAAGCGTTACAGAGCACCGCAGCTCGTTACGTCCAAATATTTCCGGCGCGAAAACAAAGAGTAAGTACGACGATTATTTTCAACTCTAGGACAACTCGAATGATAAAAATCAATGCAATAATTGTGGCCTGCACACTTACCATGTACTATTTTGAGCGTCGCTACGGACAACTGTCAACAAATACAACCTACGAACAAAATTTGTACGTAACTGGGTACAATATTGTACGTAATTATACATAGTATCGCTTAAAAATTGTGCGTATGGTGCGTATTTGCATAGTTGTTCGTTAGGTACGTATGAAATAGTACATAGCAATTCTGTGTGTGATCACTCAACATCTATAGTACAGTGGTAAAACAAATGCTTAATGTTAAACGCCAATTGGTGTTTAAGTTCATGTGTGTATTTTCTCAACACATTGTGGTGTTTAACTAGGTTAATCGTCAATTCTTGTTTAAACTTTAACACTTCCGAAAAGTATATTAGCTGCACACCATGCAGGGTCGTCAACAGACCCACAGACACCTTTCTTTATTACAGTATTATTACAGTATAAGCAAAATAAAGGAAGGGGTCTGTACCCTGTATGATTCTTGTAGATTTGTGAGTGTCCAAGTGTACACAATTTAAACGTTTACAAAACGTTTAAAAAGTGCACACCACTCAGGTGTGCAACTTGAGTTAAACACCATGTATCGTTAAAATCATAACTTGCACACGTTGGTATTTAAATTATGCACACTTGTTTTACCAGCGCATACCTGATAATTTTCGGTACACTGCGTGAAAAATGTTTGCAGGATCTACGGAAAATATTATCCGTTAGCCTTGTGATTCGACTTAAAAAAGAAAGTCAAAATCTGCTTCCTTTCCATTTGAGGTTTATTAAAAATCCATTTATAGCTCGCTTGAAAAGGGCGGGCGCATTGCCCGTTAGGCCACCAGGAGGGGCTAGAGTGCGTTGCGGGTCTGCCCATCGGCCACTTGGCAGGCGGGCGCCTTGCTTGCTAGGCCACCAGGCTGGGCTAGGGTGCGTTGCGGGTCTGCCTATCGGCCAATTGGCAGGCGGGCGCCTTGCCTGGTAGGCCACGAGGCGGGGTAGAGTGCGTTGCGGGTCTGCCTATCGGCCACTTGGCAGGCGGGCGCCTTGCTTGCTAGGCCACCAGGCTGGGCTAGGGTTCGTTGCGGGTCTGCCTATCGGCCACTTGGCAGGCGGGCGCCTTGCCTGGTAGGCCACGGGGCGGGGTAGAGTGCGTTGCGGGTCTGCCTATCGGCCACTTGGCAGGCGGGCGCCTTGCCTGGTAGGCCACGAGGCGGGGTAGAGTGCGTTGCGGGTGTGCCTATCGGCCACTTGGCAGGCGGGCGCCTTGCCTGGTAGGCCACCAGGCTGGGCTAGGGTTCGTTGCGGGTCTGCCTATCGGCCACTTGGCAGGCGGGCGCCTTGCCTGGTAGGCCACCGGGTGGGCTAGGGTGCGTTGCGGGTCTGCCTATCGGCCACTTGGCAGGCGGGCGCCTTGCCTGGTAGGCCACGAGGCGGGGTAGAGTGCGTTGCGGGTCTGCCTATCGGCCACTTGGCAGGCGGGCGCCTTGCCTGGTAGGCCACGAGGCGGGGTAGAGTGCGTTGCGGGTCTCCCTATCGGCCACTTGGCAGGCGGGCGCCTTGCCTGGTAGGCCACCGGGTGGGCTAGGGTGCGTTGCGGGTCTGCCTATCGGCCACTTGGCAGGGCCTGGGCAGTAGGTGGGCCAACTGCTCACATTTTGTGATAATGGCTGGATCCATCGACTCATCACGGCGTCCTTTCCTTCGGTTATGTAAGGAGTTGGAGATGGGCCATGGGGCGGGGCGTGGGGCGTGTCTCTATGTGATGTGCGGTTGTCAACTCGGGTGTTTTTTTTTTACCACGGCCATCTCAGCGAATTTTACCAGTCACTCGCCCCCAGCCGGTTTGAGAGCCGTGAAACTTGCACCTCTCCTGTACGTGATTCACAACCGCCCCCTTCGGACACGGTGGGGAGTCGTGGCGTGGGGGGCCTCGCACGCAGCCCAGAGCCCACTGGCCCAATTGACACACGAGAGCCGCAGCCCCGCCGCAGCCCCCGCCGCAGCCCGCGCGCCGCGAAGGTGAAGTACCCCAAGGACGAGAAGGCGAGGCCCAGCCGGCGCCCAGCCCAGCCCAGCCTGGGCCCAGCAGGAGCCTAACCGGTCCCCGCTGAAGAGGAGACGGATCGACCCCCGCATGTGGCATTTGAGACGTGCCGATGCGACTGTGCGGGAGGCAGAGGCGCAACCCAGTGGCAGGCGCAAGCCGACCGACAACAACAAAAAAACCGCCCATCATAAAATTAAACCGCTGTTTTAACCCTCCCTCTCTTGTCTCTCCCTCAGACGGACATGACGCGGGACGCGAACCTGTCCGGCCGCGGGGCCGACGACGTGGCGACCTTCTTCGCGGGCCGGAGCGCGCTCATCACGGGGGCCACGGGCTTCATGGGCAAGGTGCTCGTCGAGAAGCTGCTCCGCGAGTGCCCCGGCCTGGACACGCTGTACGCCGTCATCCGCCACAAGCGCGGCAAGACCCCCGCCGACCGGCTGGCCGAGTACGTCGGGTCGCAGGTGAGTCCGTCGATAGCGCGACAAAGCAAAAGACCATATTCTCATACTCTTTAGGCGGGACCAAAGAAAATGTCATTTCTCGCTACTCGCTCTATACGATTTTCAGCGAGTACGAAGAAAAACAAAACAGTGCGTGTAGGTAGTTTACATCCAGCCCCCCTTCCCCCTGTGTCCGTCCCACAAACGTTTTGTTTTCCCCTTTTCCTTTTACTGTCCCCTTGTTCCTTTTTATTTTGTAAAAACTGAGACGATGCCTTTACCTGGAAGGCGGAATACTAGTCATCCCCTCTCCGGCTGGACTGTCCTTCCCTGCCTCGCTTCGCGTACGCACCAGCCTCTCTCTGTTGGCCAACAAAGTACTATGGTGTGGGTCCCTCGTTACCTTTACGTTTTATTACTGCGTGTCGCACGATCTGCCGATTGTTCTGAAGTTGACGACGGCGGCGCCCGCCAGAACAGAAACTGGGACAGCGGGACAGCACAGCAGCGGCTCACACGCCAGTGCTGTGCGCGGCGACGACGACGGTCGTTCACTATAGTTTAGTGTTGAACGGCGGGTTAACCTGAACACTGCTTGCTCGTCGCGCTCCGAAGTAGCAGGTGTCATTCAGCTGTCGTTGCTGTGCAGCCGCGTCCCTTTGGCGCACCGTGTACATTTTATAATGAGAATAATAACGAAATTGCAATTATTGTAAAGGGGGAGAAGGGGGGGGGGAGCTTCTGGAGGTCGTGGACCACAAAGGGATTATATTGGTGAATTATT